CAACTCGTCAAAGAGACAAGTGAAGCCGATCCTTTGACCAAACTTGTGCTAAACAATTGTGTTATCTCCCTTTCTGCCTTCGATTATTCGCGTTTCTGATAGCATCCTATCATGCCTTCACTATTACAATTTTACCGTGTTTATTTAGATTGTGTAGTGTGCTCCTTTGAGCGACATGACACCTTCACACTCCAACTGCGACCACACAAAAGGCCACACCATCTTGGTCTTCATACCTTCGAATAAATTAGGTAATTTGTTAAAACTGAGAAGTGAGACGCAACTGCACAATATGCATTTCTTGGCTTCTCATTAACTTAATATGGTTAGATGCGTCCCAACTATTTGCCGTTTTCTCCCTATTATTTATCGGCGAAAGGCTTTACCAGATATAACTTGGGTGTGGATAGAGGGATCTATTGTTGTTAATTTGATATCCTTTTCCCTTTATGGTGTTGGTTGACTTCGTTTTCGAAAGTTGGTTGGAGTTTCAGAAAGACCTTATGGAACGTACCTAGTCCTGTGTCCTTTGCTGTAGAGTTCGTGATGCCCAGCATCGGACCTCACTTCATATAACTCATCTATCTATTCACACAATTCTGGGAGGGTTGAGAGAACGAGATGCACACTAGAAGGTAGAACAAAAAATAGGGACGAGGAGTGATGTCACAACGGTTAAATAGAAAATTGCTTAAGGAGATTGCCTTGATTCGTCACTGATAAGTTGTAGCTCTGTGCTAACGATGCCAGCTAAACGTTTGGAAATTATCAAGTCAATAGTCCGATACTGGACATCGTGAATACTATGGCAGAGGACACAGAACTAGATAAGTTCCACAAGGTCTCCCTGACTCTCCGGCCAAGTTACGAAAACGAGGTCGGACCAAAACTATAAAGCTAAGCGAGAGTGCGACCATACGGAAGACCACACCATCTTGGTTTTCATATGTACTTTTCCCTTTATGTTTATGTTACGGCCACTTTACGACTACTTTTAGACTTTTCCCTTCATCCTTGATGCCATTTATTTAACATTATATTTATTTTAAACCTTAGCATTTAAACTTAGAATGTACAACATTTTAGCTTTATTAAAATGCTGGTTTTTAACATTTATCTATTCACCTTTTCGAAAATCTTCCATGTCATGAAATGAAGTTTATTCAAGTGATAAACTTCGTCATGGTGGAAAGCCCTAGCCAGATCAATCCTCACAACACAATTTACGATCCCACCTTTACCTTATAGCTATGATTTTGGTCTTTACTAGTAATTATTTGGTTTAATTGGTCAATTTTTCGTCTAATCTGATGCGGATTACAGTGATGATTTCTCATTTCTTCAATAAACATTCGGTTTGTTGCTAAAGGTTGGCCCAATCGATGTGTCAATTGTCTTTCTCTTGGTCATTCAAGTGACTTTGTACCATTGCTGAATGGAGCGATTCCTCAGTCTATTTTTTCATAATGATCTCTGGTTTCTCATCAAAGCACGTCTTTTTCGCCGGATAAATGTATTTTAGCACCGATTAGCGAACTCGCCTACCTTTAAGAATTATCGACTGAAAACTGTCCCGAATCAGAGCTCTTCTTCGATCTTAGCCTAAGAATAATTCGCTAAAACGGTTTTAATTCCATTCAAGCAGATTTTTTTATCCATTATGTCTGCTTATATCTTCGATCCACTTCGATCCCATGCATGACTTGCCCTCAGATTTATGCACATGAATATATTTCCACTTCCTGGTTCTTCAGATCCAACCAGTCCCAATATTTACTCCTATCTATCCGCCGTCGCCAACTCCTTTTCCACTCGCTTTCTGGACTCACTTCTTATTATTTCGTTTCTTTCCCTTTCCCCCCTTCTCACACACCCCCTACTCCATTCTGCTATGCTTTCACGTTTAACTATCAAAATAAAATAAACCTTATTTTCACTATCATCTGTGGAAACAATTGTTCACCCAACTTGCGGTCTTGAAGCTGTTCTCCAGCCGATATTCCCGCCTTCACCAGGTGGGTAAATCAGTTTTTTCCCTTTATTCTACTATTTCAGTATAGCTGATCTCCACTGAGCCACTGCTTTACCATGTTGACTTACTGATCATAAGGTCCTATGCATTCCATCAAATTATGCTATTAATGTTGTTCCCATCAATTAACTTTGCTCTTCATCTGCTTTTTAATTTCACCTTATCTTTGCCTATTTCTACCATTTTTTTACTTTTTCAAAAACCTTACTTCCGCGCGTTCATTATTTATCATTATTTCTCCATCGTATACCTTCATTGGACAAAATTACTTCTTCTTGCTCCGCTTTAGTGCCTCTGGAACCGTTCGATTGGCTCAATCTAAAGAGACTCAAGCTCTGGTAGCCATCAAAGTGATGCACCTAGACAAACAGCCCAATCGGGATCTGATTATTTCTGAGATTGAGGTGATGCAACACACCCGTCATGAGAACATCGTCAATTATATCGAATCCTTTCTACTGCGTGGTGACAACGAACTATGGGTAGTGATGGAGTTCCTAGATGGTGGACCATTAACGGATGTTGTCACTGAAACCGTGATGGATGGACCCCTTATAGCTGCAGTCATCCGTGAGGTACTGCTGGCACTTTCCTTCCTCCATGAGAAGAATATCATACATAGGTGAGATTCTAGAAATTAGAGATGTTGGCTAATAGGAGACTTTTACGAGGTGTGACTTGAATTTGTATTTTATTTATTCAATATCTAGCTTCTGTGATATTGCAGCTAATTGTTTGCATATGTGGCTTAGGTGACTACTAAAATGATGCTTAACAAAATTATGGTCTGCACGAATTCTGTAGCAAAACTATGGCGTTTATTTAACATTTATTCAAGACTATTTAGAAAAGGATAAGCTAAACAGTTTAACCTAGCAATTTTTTCCGGCCATATTATTTCAATACAGTAACTATCCACTATCTTTGAATTATCAGAGGAGCATAAATGCTCTGATCCCGATTGTAAAAATTATACATAATTTCCTAGTCTTATTCCACCGTAATGTATAATGGACCTGTTATTAATTATATTTTTACAAGTAAAAGCCTGTTTCAACTATTGTGTCGTGAGCAAGATGTTAATATGATTTCTTTTTCCTAGTGCGACAATGAAGTCGCGTGATTTTTTTTTAAAACTTTAACTCAAATGTTGTCCGTTTGATTTCGTTTTCAAAATTTGCTCGGAGTGATAAGGAGACTGTGGAATGTACCTAGTCCTGCGTCCCATGCTATGGTTATTTCCACTTGCGAAAATGAGGTCAAAGCAATACCATACAGCTCAAGGAGACTTCGACCCAACAGAGGCTACGCCATCTTAGTTTTTTATCTTCGATTTAATTCAATGTTCATATCACTTTCTTTTTTGAACGGAGCAATCTTAAAGAGGAAATTATCTTTATGGACGTGCTATAACAATTAATAATTACTTATTTTGGGATCAGATTTATTTTATGCTTCTACGTTAAATCATTAGAATAAAGTCGAGTTGAAAATTTCCTGTGTACATTTTTCGCCTTTGCCTTATTTGTTTATGTGAACTATGGTTTCAGTGAAAGCCAGTAAATTTTTTGGATAGTGCCCTAAGCATGCAATTGTGTATTCCAATTGCCTTGATTTTTTCAGTCCTCCATTTTCAATTATGTAGGATATGTCTTCATAACAATCGTTTCGGAAACCATGCTTTTCTATGTCAGCTTGTTTCGAAGTTATTAATGCAGTATCGAATCTCCTAAGGTTATTTAAAAACCGATACTAAGGTTTTTACCACAATTATATGGTGATGGGCTTCACAAAAGGTTTTCTTATTTAGAGTTTACTGCAGTTTCAAACTCGCCTAGGTCTCCTCAGCGCCTTTATTTGATTAGAAACCGCATTCTGCTTATCTTTATGACAGAAACTTATAGTTAGGTCTTTCCGGAGCACTGAGATAGAATGCCTAAAGATAGATCTGAAGTAATCTCATCGAATTATGGTTTTAAGCCTTTCACCCCATCCTCCGTTCCTTCGCCGTAATTAGGCAATGATCAGTTTAATTTGATTAGATTTAGTATTGCTGTCTATTTTTTGCAAGCTTTCTCATTCTGATGGAGCCTGTCACATGGCTGATAAGTATGTATACCTATTCGCTTAGAATAACTATGCCGCCAGCGCGATCACTATGACCTCAAGGTGTATATCTTGCTATTTTGAGGAATACTCAAAAGTG